ATCGGAAAGAGACAGAATAAAAACCAGCTCTGTCTTTTTTAAAGTGGTGATCTTCAGCTTCACATTATTCCAGTGATGAGTGATTCAATTGTTTATTTTTTTCCAGTGTGCACATCTGATTTCTTTGCACTGATCTGAGATCTGAAAACAGAGTGAGCACTCACAGATGTTGTCTCTGTTCTGCAGCGTGCAGGAGTCCGACAGACCCGGTACTCTCAGGTCTCTCTGCGCTCGCAGCCCGTCCAGCTCATACTTCACGATGTATTGCCGCTCCGCCAGCGTCAGGAACACTTCCATGTTGTCTGTCACACACATGAACCCATTCAGATATTAGTGTAGATAGTGAAAAAAAAAACCCAGACAAATACAAAATACAAAAGAAATATCTGAAGAGCAGTCCCCTCCCCCTCCTCACACATGGTAACTGTCAGCCGACCTAACATCTGGCACATTTAAAAGCCAGATATATGAGCAGCCGCTGTATTAAAGCACCTACATACTAACACATATAGTATAGTTTCATGTTAAAGGTTCAGTGTGTAGGATTTAGTGACATCTAGTGGGGAAGTTGCATGTTGCAGCTGAAGACCCCTCACCTCACCCTCCCCTTCCAAACATGACAGAGAACCTGTGGTAACTTCAGTTGTCATAGAAACTCAAAAGGTTTTTTAGTTTGTCCAGTCCGAGCCACTGTACAAAACATGGCGGCCTCCGTAGAGAGGACCCCCTCTATGTATAAATATAGAGTATTTAAATATATAAGGCTCATTCTCGGGTAAAGAAAACAAAAATTCGTACAAATTAAATGAAACAAACAAGTGAAAACATCACTCGGATTATTTTGTATTTGATTTCTGCCAATAGATCCTAAATTTACACACTGGACCTTTAAGTGTATTTGTGCATCCACTCCTCTGCTGTACCTGAATCTTTAAAGTTGCTTCTGTCGTTGTAGGAGAAGGCCTCCATGTCCCCGCTGGAGTAACATTTACACAGACCCAGCTCCTCAGTGGCTCGTAGTAACGTGCAGCGAGGGGCGGACACTATGATGATGTCACCACCGGCGTCCTCACCTGGGTGGGCCAGTAACGCAGCACCTGGGGATTAAGTGAGCAGATTAGCACTTTAGCTAAATTAAGTTTTTAGTGGGGGCTTATTTAAGATATCATGAGTTTGCAGGACACAGCGTCAGAGAGCATCATGTCCGAGCTCTATGCAGAAATTGTCTCCGTTTTATATTAATTGTTGCACTAAAACTATCTGCATTGCCAACGGGCATGTAAATGCAAATGCAATCAAATGCTGGAGACCTTCTGGTCAATGACTGTCAATAGATTTCCAATACGAGAGCTCAGAAGTGTTTGAGCTGCATGAATTTCTCTGCAGGGTTGAAATAGATGGAGAGAGAGTAAACTGATCTCTGCATCAAGGCAGCAGCTCGGCACATTCAAGCCCTCACCGCCATCTTTCTGAGAAGATCCAATCAGTCTGATGAGCCACCTCTTCGTCTCCGGCCGAACCTTTTCTCCCAGCTTCACCAGAACCAGCGGCTCGACCCGCTCCAACATGCAGCAGGGGCAGCTGACCTTGGTCCACCCCGGTCCACTGGTGCTAGCGCTCAGTTTGCCCGGGAACTTCCCCTCGGGAGTCTCATCCTCCGGCTGCCGGGCTTTTTCACTGCTGCTGCCACCAGCTCCTCCACCGTCATCACCTCCTGCCTTGCTCATGGTGACACTGGGAAGACATGTTCACAAAAACAGCTGTAGTCTGTGGCTCATGTCAAAGTGGACATCAACAGGAGCGTAAGAGAAGTTCGGTTCTTCTTTCGTACTGTTTTCCCCTTGTTACCGTCACTGCTGTCAAGGCTCTAGTGATGGAAACGTACAGACATTATTATTCCCGGTGGATTCAGGCCGACTGACACTGATGTTGTGATACTTGGTGAGATGTCTTTAAAAACATGATGCGCTTGCTCCAACTCAAGAGAAATTCATGGTTCCCAGAGGATAACTTCGGCGGTCCCCCCTTATTTAGCGAATGCTAGCATGCAAACCTAAACTATGGTTTAACACCAACCACTTGCTAAACATGAGCATGTTAGCGTCCTGACATCAGCGTTTACCCCGAGGCACTGCAGCGACTCACTGAGCAGCTGGCTCGGCTGTGAGGCCGAGGTGTCGTCCTCACACTTTTTCTACATCTTAGAAATGAAACATAAGAATGTACATGAGAATATTAGGAACCTGAAACACTGGATCAGTGTCATGACGCGTCTACGATCATTCAACAAGTAGATCGAAGGGATGAAGTTCTGGAAAAGCAGATTTGAAAGGAAGAAGTCAGGACAGTTTAAGGTTAATGTGCCACCAACCACCACATTATCATCTTCTCTCGGTGGCGCTGCAGTGGACTGGTCATATTTTCATATTTGAGTGCGGCTGCTACTTTTATTTTTTTGCATTTGCATGTGAGACTGAACATTCAATAATATCTGGCAGCATTTTGCAGTGATCTGCATCCTGTAGCTCGTCGGGCAGTTTCTCGCTGAACCCTGAAGATATGAACCGACTCTAAACGTTTGTCAGGGAGGAAACAGCCGATGTTTCCACTCTGACCACAGACGAGACAGAATGAAACAACTCCTTCTGTTTTGGCTGCATGTCAACAGGGCTTGAGACACACTGAGCTACAGACATGGAGGACAGGATGAGACAGAAAGTTCTTCCTGTCGTGATTAGGAGGCTGTTTAAAACCTGCGGTTGGACGAATGAGGTTAAAGAGGGGATGAGAATGCAGATTCAGTACCTGGCAGCACGTTGATGATGAGGTTCCTACTGCGGCCAACACCCCCTCCAGACTCCTGTGTGAACACACACACAGCACAACATCTATTCGGTCTCACTGAAGAGAAAACCAGGAAGGAACAAGACATAGTGAGTCTCTGCAGACACTTACCCAGCCTCAGTGTGTGGTTCCTCCCAGATCTGTGCCTGTGTGTGAGTGTGTGTGTGTGTGTGTGTGAGTGTGTGTGTGTGTATGGCAGGAATGCGGAGGAACTTCCCAGTCACTGCAGGGTGTGGAGCGTTGTTTGGTTTCCATTCAGACTCCTCCCCTCATGCCTGCTCGCTGCTTTACTGCTGCCGTTCCACCTCAGGGTCCTACTGCACCACCCGGCTGAGCTGCCCCTGTGACTCGGACTCAGAAACTCACCGATCTGAATCAATGAGAGGGGAATACGATGAGAGGTCACCAGGGCGGCTCCAGGCCCCAGAACATGTGCAGCTTCCACAACTTGTCCGGTGAATCAGATTTCAGCACCGGTGACCTTTAATGTACACGAAGAGAAGCTCCGAGGCTTCGGCTCAGAGCTCGACTGACGCTCTGAAGTGTTTGCTGTGTTTCAAGTTTATTCTGAACAGCGTCAGAGCTGTAAAGTGATAAATTTGTGCAAAACAAAAATGTGCTTTAAAGGTCAAGTGTGAACATTTAGGTGAAATGATCTACTGGCAGAAATT